TAAATCGTAGTATCCGCCCGTAATCTCCTGTGTACCTAATTAGTCTAGATCTAACAGCGCACCAAATAAGGAGCGGGACATTTCGGAAAGATTTGTCCGTGTGGGGTGTCGAGAGGGAAGAGCTGGCTCGTTAGAGCAAGAGGTTTTGTGGGGGCTATAGGTAGCCTACACAAACTCGTAACAGTCAACCCTAAACCCTGTATGCAATATGCTTATTACAAAACTTGTTAAGGCCCCAATTGGGTGGAAGTTATCATACATTTCGAATGCATAAGGACAATATTTTCGTTCAGTGTATTTAAAGGTGGGGGTAATATCCATGGTGACTGTGAGCTTGCTCTGTTGAATGCATTTAGAATGTATCGTCGCTAGATGATGGTTTTTTTTTTTTTTTTTTTTTTTTTTTTTTTTTTTTTTTTGTAATGATAATTGGTAAAGTACACCGAAGAGCAAGCGTACAGCACCAAGAACGGTCGAAACTGTGCGTGAGGAGCAGAGGCAGGCCCCTACCCCAAGCGAGACCCACTAGGGCGCGTTGGATCCCGCCCTCCGAGATGACCACAGTGCCGCAAAAGCGCTTGTCCACTTCCAACCGATGCCATCCTGTGTAATCCTACAAAGCATGTGTTGTTCCTTCACAAAATTGCAGCGCAACTGCTTACACCGCGCCGAGCCAAAATTCCGAGTGTAGATCCTTACGTGATGCCTGAAAGCGAATGCAATCTTCCATAAACCTGCTGCGTCTGGAACTTGCCGCCATGAAACACCGCCTCACATCGTTCTAGCTACAGCTGATGGAAGGTGATGGCCGTGAGGGTCAGGTCCGGGAATGCTGAGCTGGTGCCAGTTTTCCGGAACAGGAGATCACCCAACGTGTTGATCGTGCGGCCGGGGTTCAGCATGCACAACGCACGCCTGAGAGCCGAGGAGACTACCTAAATACGTGGACGGAGCAGAAGGCAATGCTCCATCGACTCCGAGTCCCCGCAGTACGGGCAGACCGGCTTACTGCTGAGGAAAGCCAGCCTCTCCCCGACATGCAGATTCCAACCATGGATCCTGACGAGGACATCCCATGGACGGCTGGGAACCGCCAGAGAGTCCCTTGTCGCAATTGCCCGTTTCCAATCAATGACCCCGCGCCACTTTTCCGCCCACTTCTGCTGCTTGTATGACTGCTTCTCCGCACCACGCCACCCCTCTTTCATCCGCTTCACGGAGATGACGTGCCCCCCCACCACCACCACTAGCCTCGAGGGCGAGTCAGCCGAGCAGGGTGGGACAGTTGGGGAGCCCAACAAGCACTGCCAAGAGGCTGGCAATGCCCTCAGTGCCTTGAGAGTAAGCCTGGACGGGCCGTTCCCTCCCAGCTGCCGAGACAGCACTGCTATGGCCTTCGGGTCTAGTTCCCCGTCAGCCCCCTGCACCAACAAATTGCCCAGGCGAACCTCCTTCAGTCGCTGAGCATCCTGCTGCCCTCCGACGGGTGTTGTCCCGTTGAGCAGAATTTCCCGATTATAAAAGACTCTTTCCCGCAGCACTTCCTCCCTGCTTCCAGCTGGAGCTCGGGTGCCGAAGGAAGAGCGCATGAAAATCTCGCACGTCTGCTTCCAGCGGACACCTCGGCCTGTCCAGTGCTTAATCAGCTTTTCGTGCACCTCAAAGGTATCCACCCCCAATGGTAAGTCCGTTGCCAGCGACATAATTTCCTTCTTGACCAGATCGCTTTCCGTGAGAAACAAACCCACCCTCCTCGCGGCTAAACACATGATGACCATCTCCAGATTCCTAACCCCGATTCCTCCAGCTGCCCTGGACTTGAACAGCAGCTCCCTACTCCAAAGCTAGAACCCCTTCGCACCTGAGACCCTGTTCTCGGAGAGGAAGCCCTGAATCAGCCTCATCGGCTCCTCCCAGATAGTCGCCGGGGGAGAGTATACCTGAGCTTGGAAAGCAATGATCGGTGTTATGTAGCTGCTCACCACTGTCGCCCTTGCCGAAGTTATGAGATATTTCTGCTTCCACTTGACTAACTTCCCGCTGATGTGCCCCGCGCCTTCTCCCAGGTCGGCAATCCACTGCCAGATGGAGTCACCCGAACGCCCAGCATCCTCTCCGCATCGTCCGCGCCAGCTCGCTTGAAGCTACACAGTGAACCGCTGTGGACCCGAGTGTTGACACCCAGAGGTAAGACGATCGTCTTGTCGGCGTTCGTTGCCAGGCCCGAGGCTTTCTCGAACTCGATAAGCAGTTGCACCGCCCTGACAATCCGCTGCTTCCCCTGCAGGACGAGCGTCGTGTCGTCCGCATAACTGAGATAACCGAGATGCCGCTCGTCTTTACCTAGACCGAGCCTCCTGCGCTCCACTTCCTGTGCCAACGGCTCCACTGCGCACAGAAAGAGGTAAGGAGCCAGGGGGCACCCCTGCCGGACCTTCGAGACCACTTCAAGCCCCTCGCCTAGCCATCCATTCACTAACAGCTGCGTTTTCATATCTCTGATCCAACCCACAAATCGGTCTGGAAAGCCCATTCCCCGAAGCACCTGGAAAAGGAAGCTGCGAGAGACAGAGTCAAAGGCTTTTGTAAAGTCAACCAGGGGCAAGTGCCAGTCCTTGCACCCGTTTCTCACGGCCTCAATGATGTCCGCCACCAGCAACACCGCATCCGACAACCGCCTTTCCGGGAGAAAACCGTACTGCTCCGAAGAAATAACTTGATGCAACACCGCCTTCATACGATCCGTAATCACCCGCGCCAAGACCTTGTAGGTAAAGTTCAACAAGGTAATGGGGCGATTGTTGTTCAGCTGGTCTTTCTCCCCTTTTTTGTGAATCAGGATTGTCACAACTTCCTTGATTTCACCCGGCAGCGATGACGACGCCTGGAAATCACGAGCCATGGTCATGAAGCTCCCACCCAGCAGGTCCCAATGAACCTCGAACAACTCTTTCAGCAACCCATCACTTCCCGGGGATTTGTATTTTGCCATTGCCACAAATGCCCCTCCTCCTTTGTCCAATCTACTTCCAGGAAAGTCACCAGCCCCTCCTGCAGGCGCCGGCTCGGGGCCACCTTCCAGTTCGTAAAATCCGTGTCAAACTCATATGCTATAGTATGTGTAGGCTGTAGTGGAGGTAATATGGGGTACAACACTTTTAGCTTTTCCCACTTGTACCCACCTGTTTCCTAGTGCATTCATTCCCTCGTTCATTCTGACATGGTATAGAGCGGGTTCCCTAGTGCAAGGGTGAGGTCGGGGAGGTGCTGACTCTAGTGAAGTCGGAGCTGCAGAAGAGACACACGTGCACAGACCTGGGTGAACTGCGCAGCTATCTTGGCTTGCAGATCACTCGGGACAGAGCACACCGCACCATCACCCTGACTCAGTCACACATGGTGCAGCAGGTCCTTCAGCGCTTCGACTTCCACTACTCCTCGCCACAGCCCACTCCTCTGCCTACCGGTCACTCGCTCTCAGCTCTGCCTTCGGATGAGTCCGTAGAGCCGAGTGGCCTGTATCCAGAGCTTGTGGGCTGCCTCATGTACCTGATGACTTGCACTCGTCCTGACCTTGCTTACCCTCTTAGCATCCTGGCACGCTACGTTGCGCCCGGGAGACACCGACCAGAGCACAGGAAGGCAGCTAAGAGGGTGATGCGCTACTTGTGCAGTACGTCGGGCATGGGGCTCGTGCTTGGGGGACGGGGTCCAGTTGTTCTCACTGGTCACGCAGACACTTCTTTGGTCGACGACTTGGCTACGCAGAGGTCGTCACAGGGTTACACCTTCAGCCTTGGCTCCGCTTCTGTCTCGTGGCGGTCTACCCGCTCGTCTTCTGTTCTCAGCTCCAGCTGTGTGGCTGAGATCTACGCAGGGGCCATGGCTGCACAGGAGCTACGCTGGCTCACCTACCTGCTGACCGACCTGGGCGAGGCGCCTCGTTCTCCTCCAGTTCTGTATGTCGACAACAAGGCAATGCTTGCCTTGTGTCGCGAGCAGAGACTGGAGCACAGAACGAAGCACATCGCTCTTCGCTACTTCCTTGCTCGAGAGTTGCAGCAGTGTGGTCAGCTTTATCTTGTTTACGTGGCCTCTCAGGCCAACACTGCTGATATCTTCACTTAGGCACTTATGCCTTGTGATCATCAGTGTTTCTGTACTGTTCTAGGCCTTGTTCCCACTTGGCCTCACTTGCTAACTTCTTGACTTTGCTTGTACTGTGATCTCTATATATATACCTGTCTGCTTACACTTGCTAGGTTGTGATCACTGTCTTGCTTGTTCTGCTTTATATAACTCTGCATGTGAACTGACCTTGTGGCCGCTTGCTTGTGCTCGGAATGTGTGGTGACGTCGTGATCCACCCTGAGCTTGCTTTGCTCTTCTTGACTGGTCTTGTGACCTCTTGTTCTCCCCCACTTTGCTTATGGGGGTGTGTCAAACTCATATGCTATAGTCTGTGTAGGCTGTAGTGGGGTAGATAATATGGGGTACAACACTTTTAGCTTTTCCCACTTGTACCCACCTGTTTCCTAGTGCATTCATTCCCTCGTTCATTCTGATAATCCGTCCTACGATCGCGCCCGAAGATATTCGTGAAAAGAGCCGACGCGGCCTCCAGCACTGGCCTAGGCCCGCCAACCGTGGTCCCGCCAACATTCAGTTCCGCAATATGTGTTCTCGCCTTCCGCGCTCGAACCTTAGCGGAAAGATGTTTTGAGGCAATTTCCCCGGTAAGCTCCACCGTTCAACCAGCTTGCAAGTGCAGCCTGTCCCGCCTCGCTGCATGATATGCTTTAAGCGCCTACTTTCTCCCGCAGCCTGGATCCCCCAATAACTCTAGTTTCAGAACTGCAACTGCCTTATGCAGATGAGCTTGATGTGGGCATAGATACTTGTTTCTCACATGTGTGGGCGTGGATACTCGCTTTGATCTGTCAAACGTCTCTTATGGTGCTTCCAACTATACTTATATCAATAAATAAATTAAAACCGAAATGCAAAATAGTGAACCCGTCTCCAGCTTGAAAGAGAGCTTGTCGAGCGAAACAATTTTCAAAACCAAACCGACAAGTTTGCACTGTTTCATTGAGAGCGTTTGAACAGATCGAACAAATCTGATTGGTTCCCGCCAAAACTGAAAAAAGGAACACAGCACGTCAGGCGTCGTATCTCTGTTTGGGGAGCCGCAGAGCAGAAGCACTGCGATCGTTTTGTCACGTCCCTGCGATTTTTTGCCCAGCTTCGCGTTCAAGTTGGGCATAGGTGAAGTACTACTACGTCTTCCATTCAGTTTTCCGTGCTCCTTAGTTTTTAGTTGCTTGTCTAGCCATATAGCCCCAATTTAGGCTGTTGTTACCGCAGCTTAGGCGCGTAGTGATTATATGTCATGATTGGGCAGTAATTGTGCCGTTTAGATTACCCTCTCGCCGCCTTCCTATCCCGCCTCACTCGTCCTCCCGACTCACTCGTCCTTGCGCCGTCCGTCCCGACGCCGTCCCGTCGCCCGAATTGTCGCCTCCATCGACGTCGCCCTCGCTATCTCCCGTCGCGGCCCTCCCCTCAGTTCGCGTCGCCACGCTATCTCTCCCCTCCCCTCCCATCGCCTTTCCTCTCCCATCGCCTTTCCTCTCCCGTTGCCCTTCCTCCGTCGCTTTCCTCTCCCTTCGCCTTTCCTCTCCCGTTGCCCTTCCTCTCTCCCGTCGCCCTTCCTCTCTCCTGACGCCTATTCTCTCTCCCGCCGCCCTTCCTTCCTCCCGTCGCCCTTCCTCTCTCCCGTCGCCCTTTCTTTCTCCCGTCTCCTATCCTCTCTCCCGTCACCCGTCTTCTCTCCCGTCGCCCCTCCCCTCCCGTCTTCCTCTCTTCCGTCGCCCTTCATCTCTCCCGGCCCATCACCCACCTCGGCGTCTTCGCGCTCGCCCCGAAATGCCTGCCCGTCGCCCCGTCGCCCCGTGATCGTCGGCCCCTCTCGCTTTTCCCTCGCAGCGTTACTCTCCCCGTCACATATGCCCTCGCTTTTTTCGTCGCTCCTCGCGGCACCCTCGTCGCCGCCTTCCCATCACCCTCGTTGCCCTCTCTCTCCCCCCATCACCCTTTTTCTCTCGGTTCGTATCACCCCTCTTATCACCCTCACACTCTTCCCTCACATCGTCCGTCACCATCGCGTCACCCTTTCTCTCTCCCCTCACATCACCCTCCTTGTCGCCGTCGCCCTCCCTCTCATTCTCCCTCTCGTTCTTCCCGTCGCCCTAGATGCAGCCGTCGCAATTTCCTCTCCCACCCACCATCACCCACCCCATCGCCTTCCCGCTCGCCACAAAACGCCTTCCCGTCCCCCACCCACTTTCTCCTCCCATTGCCTGCCTCGTCGCCTTCGCGCTCGCACTCAACCCCCTCCCGTCGCCCTTCCTCTCTCCCTTCCCATCACCGACCTCGTCGCCCTCGTGCTCGCTCCGAAATGCCTTCCCATCGCCTTTCGTCTCTTCTCCCCAATCATTAGTCTCTGAAACACTCTCCAGATCGCCCATTGTATCCACCCGGTTCATCACCGACCTCGCCGCCTTCGCTCTTGCTAGGTAATGCCCTCTCCGCGCCCTTCCTCCCTCCCCTCACAATCTGTCTTTCCTCCCCGCCTCCCGCTCCTCTCTCCCCTTCCATCTGTCGTTCCTCTCTACCCTCCCATCCCGTCGTTCCTCCTCTCTACCCTCCCATCCCGTCTTTCTTCCTCTCTCCCCTCCCATCCCGTTGTTCCTCCTCTCTTCCCTCCTATCCCGTCGTTCTTCCTCCCTCCCCTCCCATCCCGTCGTTCCCCCTCTCTCCCCTTCTCTCCCGTCGGCCCCCTTGTCCCCAGTCCCTTCTCTTCGTCGTCGACCAATCAACCGTCCCGACACCCTTCATCTTTTCGTACATCATTCATTTCTTTATTTCTATCTTCTTCGCCTGATTTCACCTGTGTGTGCAATGGATTTTGCTTGATCATGCCAGTGTTTGCGCAGGATTTTGCTAGTTTTTGCCTGTGTGCGCGCTGTTTTTTGCACATAGGAATTCTTGTGAAGTTACGACCGCTGCTCTGTTGAATGTGGGATTGCAGCCTTGCGCCAAATTCGTACAGGAATTTGGGTGAAAGTCGCCACCAATGAGATTTGTAAACAAGTACACATGTTTTCGGGACAACTTAAGCTGCAATCCAGTTTAGCCAGCGCGGTTCGCAAATGCGATCCCTAACAGTCCGCCTGGAAGAAGCTGATGGTCGTAATCTTCCCACAGTCAGAAAAAAATAAACCCCATCTGGATGGCATGCGATTAGGGGAGCCCCAACCCTAAACACGGGGAGCCCCAAGCCTAAACACGGGCAGCCGCATGGTTCTGCCCGAAAATATTGCATTTGCAAACCCGCACTGGGAAAATGAGATCGCAGTTCGAATTGTCCGCATGTTTTCCGTTCAGATCAAGACTCGACTGGGATGAAAAAAAGTAAAAACGCACAGGCCGTCAACTTTTCAAACGTTTCGTAAATAAAGTATAAGGTTAGCAACCAACCGACCTATGGTTTGACGAGTATCTAGCTTGCAGGCAGCGAGTAGTTGCAGGAAGCGACAGACACGGTCAAGAATTACCAAGTCCATAGCAGCAGCGGTGATAGGTACCAGCGCGGAAGAGCCAGCATTTGTTAGGGCGGGTCCAGCGCGTACATTTTCCGTACATTACAGTTCATCTAGTGCGGTAATCTGTATTTCGTCACGGTTCAAAACGGTGCAATTTCAAAACCACTGTGCACCGCCTGTTATCTTTTCAAACCTCGACAAATGAACTGTATAGTACCTGTAAACGTACGCGCTGGACCCGCCCTTAGCTTACAGGTAAGATAGGAGGAGGTTTGGGGAGTAAACAACAGCGCTGGGATTGGAGGAGTGTTTTGGCAGCAAATGGCCGAATATGGCTGACATGTTATTGGCTGCAGGGTGGATCGTCACCAGTTGGATGGGTATGGTTAGACGGGTGGAAGAAGCGGGAAGTGGGAGTCAGTGAGGAAACGAGGGACGGAGCATGAGGGGGAAGGAAGGAGCCCGGGCGACCTCATCAGTTTTGTGCGAGCTGCTGCTATTGCTGCTGTTGTCGTTGCTGCTGCCGATTCCTTTCCACTTCATCCAGGCTTGTGTCCCCCTCTTTGTCATCATCCTCTTCATCATCATAATCACCCTTCATCATCATCGTCCTCGTCCTCGTCACCGTTCCCGTCGTCCTCGTCATCTTCATCATCGTCCAGGTCATCGTCGTCGTTATCTGAGAAATCGTCACCGTCGGATCGGTGCGACGGGCTCCTCTCGTCGTCAGGCGGGTTGAGCATGCGGTTGATCTGCTGGCCGAGAGCCACCCAGCTGGAAAGGGAGGTGGATGCTGTCAAGGAGTGCAAAGAGGGGAGGAGGCGGGTTGAGCATGCGGTTGATCTGCTGGCCTAGTGCCACCTAACTGGAAAGGGAATGGGAGAGAAGTGGAATGAGGGGGAGGAGAGTTGAATGAGTGGGACGGGCTCCTCTCATCATCAGGTGGGTTAAGCATGTGGTAAATCTGCTGGCCTAGTGCCACCCAACTGCAAAGGGAATGAGAGAGAGGTGAATGACAAAGGGAGAAGACTGGCATGCGTGAGATGGGTTGAGCATGCGATTGAAGAGCTGGCTGATGAAGGCCAACCCGACAGCGAGTGCCACGACACGCCCAAGAGTGTCGGCGAAGTTTGAGGACACATCCCAATCGATGGGCATGGCCTTGGTGAGTGAAACACGTAGGAAAGGAGGGAAACAATAATGGCGACGGCGGCGGCAGCGGCAGCAGCAGCAGCGGCGGCGGCGGCGGCGGCAGCAGCAGCAGCAGCGGCCTGCAGGCAGCTACCAGTGACCTCTGAGGCGCCCTTGAGCGCGATCACTGTGAAGCGGTGGGGCCCGTCCATGAGCCCACGCACTGTGAACCACCCCCACAGGCAGGGGAAGCTGGGGAGGGTGTCTAGCTGCGTGGGGACGGGGAGAGGAGGAAGGGGAGGAGAAGGGGATGAACCTGTGCGTGGAGTGCATTCACAGGTGCAGGCGGCTGGCAGTGACCCCTGGCGCGCCCTGGAGCGCTAACTGTGAAGCGGTGGGGACCGTCTGTGAGGCCACGTGTTGCGAACCACCCCCGCGGACAGGGGAAGCTGGGGAGGATGGGGAGGGGGTGACTGTGAAGCGGTGCTGGCCGTCTGTGAGACCATGAGCTGTGAACCAGGGGGGGACGCACCTTGCACAGGAAGGTGCAGGTGTCACAGCGGGCGGGCGAGTGCGCGCTTGTCGACTCCAGCGCGTGCCACGAGAAGTGCGCGCGCCCCACCTTCGCCACCCTCCTTGGCCTACGCACAAACGACACCGCCACTGCCGGGGCGAAAGCTACAGCCACTACAGGCGCTACAGGCGCTACATCCACTACAGGCGCTGCAGGCGCTGCAGGCGCTACAGATGCTACACACGACGCGGGCAAACGAGCTTGCAGTGCAACAAGCGCCGAGCCACCACCACCCTCAACGCTAACACCACCACCACCACCACCGCCGCCAACATTGCCACCGGCACCGTCGCTGCCGCTGCTGCCTCTTGCTATCGCAGCTGCTGCACTCGCCTCTCCCACTCCTGCCCCTGCACCCGAACCTGCGCATAAATCTGACACACCCCCATAGACAAAGTGGGGGAGGACAAGGGGTCACAAGACCAGTCAAGCAAAGCAAAGCAAGCTCAGGGTGGATCACAACGTCACCACACATTCCGAGCACAAGTTCAAGGCCACAAGGCCAGTTCACATGCAGGATTACATATATATATAAGGCTAAACAAGCAAGAGCAGGTGTATATATATATGTAACAGTACAAACAAGGTCAAGGGGTGAGCAAGTGAGGCAAGGTAGGCACAAGACCCAGCTGAGTACAGAAGCGCTGATGATCACAAGGCGCAAGTGCCTTGGTGAAGATATCAGCAGTGTTGGCCTGAGAGGCCACGTACGCAAGGCGTAGCTGACCACGCTGCTGTAGCTCACGAGCAAGGAAGTAGCGAAGAGCAATGTGCTTCGTTCTGTGCTCCAGTCTCTGCTCCCGACACAAGGCCAGCATGGCCTTGTTGTCTACGTACAGCACTGGAGGAGAACGAGGCGGCTCTCCGAGGTCAGTCAGCAGGTAGGTGAGCCAGCGAAGCTCCTGTGCAGCCATGGCCCCTGCGTAGATCTCAGCCTCACAACTGGAGCCGAGAACAGAAGACGAGCGGGTAGCCCGCCACGAGACAGAGCCGGAACCAAGGCTGAAGGTGTAACCCTGTGACGACCGCTGCGTAGCCTGGTCGTCAGCCCAAGAAGCGTCTGCGTGCCCAGTGAGGACCACTGGACTCTGCCCTCCAAGCACAAGCCCCATGCCCGACGTACTGCACAAGTAGCGCAACACCCTCTTCGCTGCAGCCATGTGCTCCGGTCTGTGTCTCCCAGGAGCAACATAGCATGCGAGAATGCTAAGAGGGTATGCAAGGTCAGGTCGAGTGCAGGTCATCAGGTACATGAGGCAGCCAACAAGCTCTGGGTACGGGCCACTCGACTCTACGCACTCATCCGAAGGCAGAGCTGAGAGCGAGTGGCGAGTAGGCAGAGGAGTGGCCTGAGGCGAGGAGTACGTGAAGCCGAAGCGCTGAAGGACCTGCTGCACCATGTGTGACTGAGTCAGGGTAATGGTGCGGCGTGCTCTGTCCCGGGTGATCTGCAAGCCAAGGTAGCTGCGCAGTTCACCCAGGTCTGTGCACGTGTGTCTCTTCTGCAGCTCGGACTTCACGTGGGCGAGTCCAGCAGTGTCAGCTGTGGCAAAGACCAAGTCGTCGACGTACACGAGGATGTAGAACGGCGGCAAAGAAGTGTTGGTGCGCAGAAACAGCGACGGGTCGGCAGTAGAGGGAGCAAACCCAAGAGCCGCAAGCGTAGTCCTCAGTGTGTCGTGCCACTCACGCGGTGCCTGGCGGAGACCGTAGACTGGCCGCCGGAGGCTCCACTGGGTGCCAGGAGGAAAAGTCCCAGTGAAGCCAAGTGGGCGGCGCAGCCAGATCTCCTCGTGCAGGCTGCCCTGCAAGAAAGCAGTGCTGAAGTCAAGAGAGTGTAGCTCGTAGTCACGGTGAGCAGCTATGTGCAGCAGTACCCGAAGAGTGGTCATCTTCGGGGTGGGAGAGAAGGTCTGAAAGTAGTCAACTCCCTGCCGTTGACTGAAGCCACGAGCCACGTAACGCGCCTTGAAGACAGGCGGAGAACCCGGCGGCCACTTCACCCTGAAAATCCACATGCCACTGACGATGTTCGCCCCAGGCGGGGGAACCTCGTCAACGTAGGTGCCTGTGGACTTCCAGGAAGCCATCTCTGCGTCCATGGCTGCCTGCCACTGAGAGGAGTAGGGACCCTCTATCGCCTCCGCGTAAGAGCGCGGAGTCGGGATGTCAAGTGCATCCGGGTCTCCCTCAGGGGTAAGCAGTACGGGCACGAGATGAGGTGAAGCAGCAGCCAAACACTGGAACTCCTCCTGTCTGTCCTCAAGGACGTCCGTGCCAAGGGCACACTCACCCCCGACGGACGGAGGACAGACAGACTCAGACGCAGCAACAAGACTAGCAGCGTAGTCTAGACGACAGCGAGCAGCAAAGTCGACGAGCTCAGCAACTAGGGCAGACGCAGCAGTGGACTCAAAGGAAGGGTCAGTGACAACAGTAGCAAGGAGACGCGTGACAGTCGGACTAGCAGCACGAAGGGAGTCCGACTCCGGGTCAGCAAGAGCAGGAAGAGAGGACTCAGGAGGAGAAGGTAAAGGGGCACGCAGAGGAGCAGTGGACGGACGGAGAGACATCCGGTGCGTGCCGGGCACAGGGGGAGGACGCTGACGCGAACCACGACCACTAGCGCGAGCA